GCTCTTGACAAACATGTCGTCCACATACACTTCCATATTCCGACTGATCTGCTTGGCAAACATTTTGTTCACCATCCTTTGGTAGGTCGCACCCGCATTCTTTAGGCCAAAAGGCATCACCTTGTAGCAGTACAGACCTTGGTCTGTTATAAACGCGGTGTGATCTTGGTCTGGTATATGCATTTTAATTTGGTTGTATCCGGAGTAGGCATCCATGAAGGTGAGTAACTCGTGCCCGGCTATTGCGTCCACGAGCTGGTCGATCCTCGAAAGGGGGAAGCAATCTTTTGGGCATGCCTTATTTAGATTTGTAAAGTCCACGCACATCCTCCACTTCCCGTTGGATTTTTTAACCAGTACAACGTTAGAGAGCCACTCAGGATACAAAATTTCTCGTATATATTCAGCTTTCAAGAGTTTGTTTACTTCCTCAACAATTACATCACTCCTCTTTTTATTTACAGGTCTTCCTTTTTGCTTTACAGGTCGGAATGATGGGTCTATGTTGAGGCGATGCACCATGATCTTCGGGTCGATACCAGGCATGTCCTCATGCGACCATGCGAAGACGTCTGAGTTAAACCTGAGTTAGTTGATCAGTTTTTCCTTGTCAGTGGCCCCCAGCTTTGTTCCTATGCTTACTTGCTTTTCGGGGCTAAGTAAAGGAACAAGCTCGAGCTCTTCTGTTGGCGGGGAGAACTGCCTTTTGCCTTCCTTTGGCAGGTCGGTCTCTGACTCCTGCTGCTTGCCACAATTGGTTTGTTCCTCCAGGGCACATATCGACGATCCCTTGAGCGCGGACGCGTAGCACTCTCTTGAAGTTTTTTGCTCACCTCGGACCGTGCCCACTCCGTTAGGGGTTGAGTACTTCAAGACTTGATGCAATGTGGAAGGAACAGCTTGAAATGAAGGGATAATGGGTCTCCCAAAAATAGCGTTGTAGGCCGATTTGCCGTCGACTACCACGAATTCGGCCATCTGTGTTATCTGGGTAGCATCTTGCCCGATAGTTACCGGCAGGTTGATGCACCCTTCTGGGGAGACTGATTCTCCAGAGAATCCAACCAAGGGTGTTGGACTCTTCTTCAATTGTGACCTGGTCCATCCCAATGCTAAATATGTTGGGAGGGACAAGATGTTCGCAGATGCGCCTCCATGAACCAATACTCTTCGGACCAGGACGTGATCAATAAGAGGGGCGATCACGAGTGCGTCATTGTGGGGCAAATGGATCCCCTCCAAATCGGCATCGCCGAAAGTGATGGAGCAAGTAGGTTTCTGCTCCCTGATGATGCATACCTCGCGCCTGGCCTCGCGAGCTAGCTCCTTCCTCTTGTTTCCGGACTGGCCCCCGCTCGGACCTCC